TAATTTACGGTTATGCTTCCTCAAAAATAACGTCTAATAACCCCTTGTGTGTGTGTGTGTGGGGGGGGGGGGGTTTAATAATTTTCTGTTAGTTTTCCTCTACCCAAACTGAAATTCTTTCGCACGGGCCTAAGTACTAAGATTTATTTTCTAGTATAAGGTAATCTAATTCGGATTAAAAATCATTTACATGTACATATATTAATACTATATCTGTTGTACATCAAAAACATACATTATCATTTTGCAAAGTAAAACCCTGAGTCACATATTTCTTACATTAATTGCTAAGTGTGGAAGCTTTATTTATGATCATACACACAAGCCACGTTCTCTGTTTAAGTACTCTTTTTTTTATCTTTTGAAGGCGCAATCACGGAATAACTATGTAACACTTGCACTCACGCCAGGAACAGCTGCCTGTAATGCATCCAATTACCGCTGTATATTGAGGAAAAAATTGCAAGGCATTCTAACATGAAAAAAAATAAGTTTGAATAATTTATGTGCAGGCACGAAAATGGAATACTGTGAGTTTTTACACACAAAATCAACAGCAACGTTTGAGTTCCCGCCGAAATTTCAGATCAAAGCAGATGTAGATGAAGGGGTTTAAAACATGGTTTAAGACATAAAATCTAAGAAAAAAGTAATACAAATTAAAACGGACAACAGTGTCTGTAATTTCAGGTTCTCCAAGAGCGAGTGTTTGAGTGATTAATGAAGGTAAAAAAGAGCAAATGTACACAACAATTATCACTAATAACGTCACACTCATATTATTTCTCATTCGGGCTTGCGCGATGCTACATTCATCACCGTGGTCAGCCTCTGTTTCACAGTGACTGTGGTTTATAGATGGCGCTTCACTTTCAGACTCCTTTTTAGATAAATTCTGACTAATAAACGACATTCGCTTTAATCTGGAGAAGGTGTGGTAAATTTTTCGTATAACGGGCATGTAAAGGGAAGCTGTTACGATGATATTTAATAATATAAGAGCTAAAAGAATTCCAAAATACACACGCCGGAAAAAAGTCGGCGAGTCAATATTGCTACTGTATCCACAACTTTCTGTTGTCACATTTGTGTTATTGTACAATAACGTCATTTCAAATTTTCCACTTGCAAATAACACTGGTGATGCATATATTAAGGACAACACACATATAATGACAAGAGCAAGTCGTCTACGTGCTCTGTTTAATTGCTGTCCGAATGGGCGACATAATATCAGATACCGCTGGAGGGCAATCACAAGAATTATATGACCGGAAACTCCATTATTGAAAATGACCAAAAATGAAAGTAGACGACACAATATATCACTTGGGTAAATAAATTGTAATTCGTCGTCGAAATGAAAATATACGGCGTTGGTTACACATCCGATGAAATCTACACACGCTAAAATCGGAATGAAATACCGATTGTCCTGTTTTTTCATTCGAAAACAATACACGAGTACAACAGTAATATTCCCCAGTCCGCCAAAACTGGCCACTACGTTATAAAATGTCGTCGTGGGTCTCACTTTTTGTGCGTATTCCTCGTTTAGCTGTAATTTGTTTTCATCCATTTTCCCGAATTTCCGGCCGAGGTAATAACACCATCACGTGTAAGTATAACTCAGCATGTTTTCTAAACCTAGGAGTTTGACGAGGAAATAATTTTTGCTCCCACGATAAACTAACAGCTGACTAGGTCAATCTAGCGCCTATACACATTCCAAAAATTGCTCCTTGCTTGTTATTATGTACATAGTATCAATGACCGGCCTTTTAAATAAAATTTGTCTTAAAATCAATATACAGCTCTTTAAAAATGATCATTGTGCCGAAACGGTGATAAAAATAGTTGTCCCCAAGTATAGTATCGCTGACCTTGGTAAAGGTCGGTAGATTAAACAAAAATTGTGTTATCTTCCGCACAATTGAAAGTAGATATTTTTATACTTGCGGAAGGCGCGGGTTTCTGTTAATTTCCTTTGAAAGGAAAAGTAAGTTAATTAGTACATATTAATAAATTACCACTTTTGATCGTTCTTCTAAAAATGAATCTTTTATAATTCATAAAAATTGATTTTTGAGAGATTGTGGATTATATTACTGAACTCTGTATGCAGAGAGAAATATCAAAGAGAATGTTTTTTCCCTAATTATTACAACATACAAAACAAGGAGGAAAATGGGTTCTCCAATTGAAACTTGGATCTTTTTGAAGTTATTTATTCAATTAAAAGAATGTTACTGGTTTTATTTTAGAATTCTCACTGACTTATATTTCGAGGATAAAAGAATTTAATTTAAAGAAATAGAAATTCCATTCCAAAATTTTACTGTTTTTCTTATTCGAACTTTTGAAAGGAGGTAAAGACTAACACTTGTCCTCAGTTTATGTCATTTTATTATGTGTTTGACGAAATAAAGTCATGGGGAGATTCGTAAATTTCCGTTAAGGGATGAAAGTTTTGGAGGCTGGGGTCTGAGGACCGTCTTGAGGCTCCAAGTAGGGTAGGTCAGAGCGAAGTCCTGGTGGTGCCAGGGGAAGTAGCGCCTAAAAGCTACTGAATTTTAGAGATTTTAAGAGCAAAATGTAAACTTAAAATTAGACTTGATAGAAAATATTTTCAGGAAATTTAAATTTAACGTAATAAATTGCATGTAGAAAATATTTTCAAGTTAGGAAGACTTTGTTGTGTTAATGAAGATTCCATATATTAAAAAATGCGCTGGTTTTGACTATACCCGGTATATATATGATGTTATATTTCCTAAATTTCCTACAACAGCCTATGGAAGTTTTTTTTATTCCGAAAAAAAAAATTTCAAGACATTTCTCCTCTTTGAATTACCTTCATCAGCCCCGGAAACTTAAATGTTTATAAAATCCTGCCGATCGACGCTCGCCATTTTTACATATAGATAAAATCATTCTTCACTTGTTTAAGTCAGTATATAAAGGCAAAGATCTATTTAAAAATCTGAGATATTGTCTACTTCAATAGTCAAACATGTATCCAAAGAATTATTTGGTATCAAGTAGCCAGGTTTGTATTGTGGAAATCGCCGATTAGGGAAACCATTTTCCCCGAGATATTGATGCTTGAAATCGATTATAATCCATGTAGCTCTGATTAATCGAGAGTACCAAATCTCATATTTTATGAATGTATCTGTTTCCAAGGTAATTTGAAATTCACATTTTAATATCATGCTAAGTTTTCTTTTAATTTTTTTTTTGCCTTTATTTAAAAATAATTAGTTCTAAATACAATGTACATGTTATCTATCTTTTGGAAATTTTAGGGGAGTGGGGTTTAGGAACCAACGCCCCCCTCAAAATCCGCAGGTGAAAGCAGTATATTTCAGCGATTTAAAATATAAATACAGGTATATGAAAACATTAAGGCGAATTTCTTTTAAAGATATATAGGTTATTAGACCACAGGAGATGTAAATCTCAAATACTTAATAAATATAAAATATTGTCAGTAGTTTTTATGTACATTCAAGCAGGGAGATTATATTTAAAAAATAATAATTGTAAGATCACGAAGATGTTGTCGAAGCTTTATACAAACTTAACAAGAATGTCCCTGTAACAAGACTACACTGAATATTGTATACGCAAAGTTTTAATAAAACGGATTTTGTTTATAAAGAAAAAAAGATTTACAAATGAGTATATGTAATATCAGAACAAGGCTGTCTCAGATTATATGCTCGATTGAAATTAATCAAACATCATGAAGAAAAAAGAAAGAAAGAAAGAAATCTAGAGCAAAGCACAATTTCTGAACACAAATATTTAAATTTATCATTACATGTACATTGGAACGAAACTACTTTATCTCTTTACAACTCTAGCCGTATTTTGAACAAAAGTTCATATTAGGTACTTAGAATTGTAGCATTAACTATGACAAATCTTTTTTTTTTTGTGTTGCTATCTTTTTTTAATTAGAAGATATTATAAAAGTGGATACTAGATGAATCATTTCTTTAACTCCCTTCCTGGTTCCTGAAATATACAGTCGCACATATAATCATTCTCCACAAATGATTCCACTTAAAGGATAGCATATACACTTATATATTTTATTGTGATAAATTTGAGATAAAAAATTAAAGTACAACCCTTCCTCAATAAATATAAAATTTTACCCACCAAAGTTTCTCCGTTCTCAAGATATATAATTTTCACGACACGACTTAAAATCATGTTTAATATAGAAGTCAGAACTGGATTATAAATGCAGGTCTGTAGCTCGCTGGTCTGAAAAAAAAATTAGGATGGATGACCAGTGAGCAACATTGCCACCCATTGAAAAAAGTGTGTATTTATTGCGCACAAAAAGTGCACTGTTTCGCGATTTATTTTTCCGTTTCCAGGCCCCAGGATCATGAAACAGATTAGACTTAAGTCAAATTTTCAATCGCCTGTAAAATGTTTATTAATTATTGAATCAATCTTTAAATTTCCTGATAAAACACTTTTGTGATGCAATTTTGAAAAATATTTTAATTTTAGTCTGCTTGACTTTTAAAACATTTTAGTACAACAGAAGGATTTTGACTTAAGCTTAAGATGCTTCATGATCCCGGGGCCAGAGCCGTTAGCTCCTTTCCAGACCAACGAGCTACAGACCTGCAGCTAAACTCGATTCATGCAGTTAAACATCGGTTTATATTGTAAAATTAAAGCACTTTTTTATTTTTATATTAAAAACTTTTGAACAATCTTAATTAATCTTCAAGACTTAAACTTTAGTATATCAAAAATATTCTTTACTTTCAATGCTAACTATCAGAAAACAATTACTTTGAAAGCAAATTTAGAACGAGGTCGATTATTTAAATGTGAGAGTATGGAAAAATAAGACAATAGGACATTTAAACAGGGATTATTTAGAAAAATCTAGGACAGAATTTATGTGTAATCGACCAAAAAACATAATATCCACAATGTATGCCAGCATAATTTTAATTTTCAAATAGACTGATAATACCTGTCAGGTATAAACAAAATGTGTGTATTTACAAACGTAAATTTAATACATGGATTTTATATCGCCATATTATTAGAAGTGTTTATAGAAGAAAGATAAAAAATAGTCCTCTAGTCCTTTTTACCCCTATCTTCTCCGCAGAAAACTGTAAAGTGACATTATTTTCATGCCGAAAATGAGTATCGTCTGATAGTGCCACCACAGCAAAATTTCTGGAGTTCATTTCTGAATCTGATGTCATAGAACCAATATATATAGGGATTAGCAATGTGATTCAGAAGGTTAAAGCGCAAACAGAAAAAGTAAATGTTTAACTCGTACCCTTTAAGTTCTATTCTGGTTGCGAAACTGTGGACCTGAGTAATGAGTGACGTCAGATACGAAACTACGTAGACAATAATGATGACGAGAAACATGACGCTGATTTTTTTGCGCGCTTTTTGTTCCCGATTTTTATCGATAGTTGAGGTATTTTGAGGTGCAATATAGGACTTTCTCACATCGTTTTGTGGGAACTCTACCATTGCAATTTTCTCAACTGTAGAACTTTGCGTTTCTTTGGAGGTGATATTAGTGTCTACATCCACAATATTACTTGTTCGATTTCGTCTGGTAGGTGATAGTGTTCTATAAATAGTTTTAGTCACTGGAATGTACAGGGCGGTTGTGACGAAAATGTTTATAAAAGACAGTAGCAGCAAAAATCCGAAGTATGGTACCATAACACCTGTTCCATTTGTTCCATCATCGGAATGACAGACAAGAACAGAGATGTTCCGAGTGACATTCTGATAGTTATCTTCTACAGTTGTGCTATAGAATCCACCAAATTTCAAAACAGGTGATGCATAACCGACCGAAAATAGGAAAATTGCCAGAATAGCAATTCTGCAGGATTTCCTTGACATCTGTTGACTAAAAGGACGACAGATAATTAAATACCTCTGTAATGCAATCGCGAGGATCAGGTGAGCCGAAAATCCCCCGGTCAGTATCAGCAAAAAATAAAGAGTTTTGCATAAGTACACGTTAGGGTAGGTGTAGCGCTGGGTGTTGTCAAGGTGAAATTGAGTCACATTCGAAATACATCCGGAGAGATCGATAAAAGCCAATATTGGAATGAAATACCGGGTGCCTGTTTTGTCCTTAACGTATTTAGTGTACATCAGAAGAACAAGAGAGTTTCCGAATATTCCAAATGCAGCTTCGATTATGTGTACCATAGTGTTGGGAAGGAGTTGTTCTGAATATTTATCGGACAAAATCTCTGCATCGGCCATATTCACAAGTGAGGCAAAGAAAATTCACTATAACTATTTTCAACTCCAATATCCAAAGGAAACTATTAGAGAAGATATAAAGAACTGGAAAACTGCTACTGGGAATAAACACATTACACCAGTGACAGAAATTGTTATGAAAAGATACCAGAAGTGGATGCTTAACACAATGTGGTAATAAGGAAATATGTACTCCAACTCACTTTAGTGCCTCTAAATTTAAATTGTCATAAAGGAGTGAAGGAATAGCATGAATACAACTTACAGAATAATCGTGTATCAAAGACGTACTAACACTTCTATTAGTTATACAATGGGACAACATGGGTTACAAAAAACCCCAACATATTATAAATCCACAATCAAAGAATTGCATTTCGGGTTTCATTTTTATTATGGTCGCCCGCGTGGCCCAGTGGTAGAGCGTCTGACCTAGAGTCGCGGAGTAAGGAGTTGATCATTACGTCGCGGGTTCGAATCCCACTGTGGGACGTGGAGATCGGTCCTTCGGATGAGACCATATAAACCGAGGTACCGTGTCGCAGTAGGTGCTGGCAAGAAAAAGATCCCTCACTGCTTAATGGCCCTGAGTGCCGAACATAGGCCAGAATTTGCAGCTCTCCACCGGCAAGTGGTGGCGTCTCCATATGAGTGAAAAATTCTCGAAAGGGAAGTTTAACAGCAAACAAACAAAACAAAATCATTTTTATTATGGAATTTTTAAACGGTGAAGGCGAGGAAGGAATAAGTAAGAGGAAGGAGTATTTCCTCTCAAATACAAAACATCTAGTTCTCACAATTCCTTGCAGGCTAATAATTCAATAGTTTTTTAGAGAGAATAAACGATTATATAACGTCAGGGAAAAAAAGGGCAGGGGACTTTTAGTAGGATCTTGGGTAGTGTCGTGTCGCCCTATTGGGTGACCGCACTTATCTTGGGAATTTGTCTAGCTCGCTCGCTTGTGAGAGACCCTTATTTATAATGATTCTGCTTTTCAGCCACCAGGTCCAGATTAGGTTTGGGTGCACTGTAATAAGGAAAAGCAAAGCGTGGATCAAATTAAAAACGATGTTACTTTATTCACGTCTCCGAATAGAATGCACAACAAAAAGTCACCAGGCACAATAAAATAAATCATTATGAGTTGCTCGTAGCATTACAAACAAGTGTGCCTTAACCTACCTAACATCTGGTGACTCATAGAGTGATTAAACAATATTAAAAGACTCACTCTATATAATAAAAAATCTAGACAATGTAATTTCCAACTGAAATACTAAAGCTCGTACTTTTGTTTACACTGGATACATTTAAATTTACCTCCCTCGACTGGAGAGTTTGATAATAATAATAGAGCCAAACAAAGAAAGGCATTATATTTCCGGTATAAAACCGATAAAAAGTAAAACGTGTCTAACTATAAAACTACACTCTACATAGGACTACAGCTACCAAAATACAAGAAAAATCATAAGAACACACATCAAATATAAATGCCCTGATCTCAATATAATACTTTTATAATAGATTTCTATTTTAATGAAAGCTCAAATTTTGTAAACTAAAGCTCAAATTTTTGTAAACTCCAGAAATTAATTGCAAATGTTAATAAATAATTAATTAATCTTTTCTTTATAAGTTCTAGAAAAATAACTTAACCAAATAAAACATTTTTACCATACCTGTAATAAGGAAAAGCAAAGCGTGGATCAAATTAAAAACGATGTTACTTTATTCACGTCTCCGAATAGAATGGCCGAGTTGCGGCACAATTCCATTCGGAGACCCACGCTTGCCGTGAATTATTTTGTCCAATCAAATTAGTTTTTCTTTGTTAATTTGTATCAATAATAGCCAAAATATCGTATTTTGAAAAATCACATGACATGAACTGACCATTACCTGAGTATTTGACCTGCCACTTAACAAGTTAATCCCCTAACAATAGGTTAATGGATTCTACTTCGTTTGATAGTGTTTTTGACACTAGATAAAAAAGATAAAAGAACCCATAAATAAATATACAAAAAAAACACATCACCTATCTACAAATTACTGCTGTTCTCTTTTTCCAGCAAAATTACATAATTGTATGGCTAAAGGCTTAAACAGTTTACTAATCCCTCATGCCAAATCTTCTGAGTAACACATATTATTTATTTTAGACAATTACCTGTACTTATTTTTTTCTTCAAAGACATTCCTTCTTTTTCGTCAAATAAAATACTATTACCAAATTTCTATACATATATCTGAAATTGTAACAGGAAATAAAATAAAGACTTTACTATATAATTCCTATAAAACGAGAATACCCAAAATGTTATGTTAAAATATCCACATACATTAATCTTAACCCAAATTGAAATATTAATTGACTAAAATTCAAAGTGAAATTTTATCTTTAATCATAACTGTCCTTTCTGACATATTTCATTTTGTCAAATAAAATCTGCAACATGACTATTTTCCCCCTTGCTACCATTGCTTTCGTCCCTGAAAGCTCAAATTTTCCTCATGGATAATGAAAAATATTTAATTTGAAAGATATCCAAGGCATCAATTACATACCCTCGACAAAAAAATTAATACATTGTTTTTCTTCTTTTTTTGTTTTTTGTTTTATGCAATATATCACATGTTTAAAAACTACAATTAAACCTATGGATAAAAAAATATTTATATAAAAAAAAAATATATATATACATGTATATACATAAAGGCAATATTGATACCCATATATGTGTTCATTTTGAATCCCTGAGATTTTTCAATACTTTATTACTTATAAGTGGGAAAAATGAACAAACAAATATCATAGAATAGTCATCCAATATTAAAGAGTAAAAAAACCAATGAGGTCCCTGTAAAAAGAATTCATACAATAAATGGAAAAAGGAAAAAAAATTATTGAGTTGTGCGATTCAATGCAATGTTGACAACGGAACATAGAAAAAAATTAAAACCATACAAAAGGAATTGAAAATATTGTTAATCTTTTCTGCACTGGGTCATTTAAAGGGTAACCAGCATGTTTTTGTGTGGGTTATTTAGATGGAAAGCATAATTGTTGTGTAATAAGATGACATAGGCACTGAATGGTTGTTTTAAAATTCTTTTGAGTTTATGGTGGGTAAATGGGTTGATGGTAATGGTTGATGGAATGGTAATGGTCATGTTGGTTCGAGTGTCAGTGACTTTGAAATTTGTCCACGTAGCTAATAATTTGCATGATGGAAAAGGAGTAATTGAAATATCTGCAATTTGAGGTGTTGAAATAGTGTAATATGAAGGACACAAGGACAATCTAGTTATAAACACCATAACACAATCACCACCTGTAGTTAATTCTAGTGCCAAAATGGATCCTTTGCATGACTTTGATTTGTACATCCAGTATAAGAGAAGTCCCAAGATGACCAGTACAACTGTACTTAAAATAACTGATGCATGAATCCAAGTAAATTCTGAAAACCAAGTTGAGCTTATGTCTGTTGGATTAGGAGTTGAAGTTTCAAGTTTTTCATAAATGAAAGAAGGGACTTTGTCAGATGTGGCATTTTGTACTTGTTGTAGAACTAAAAGTGATGTTGACAGTTTTCTGAATTTCAAGACCAACACAATACAACATCCTAAACACAGTGCTGCAATACTTAAAGCTACATATGTTAAAATGTTGGAAGTACCTAACCAATCATCTTGAATATCAATTTTGCCATCTATTAAAGGTTCTGCCAGAGTTTTGAAAATTTTCTCATCCTTTTTGGCTGCTTTAGCAATTTTCTTTAAACTTAAATGGGCTTTTTGATCATTTACTAATATCTCATTTAAGGAATGATTATAAAATTTCAGTTCAGGAATGGACATATTTATTGGTGTAGGAAATAAACTGTCCCCAAACACATGTTCTAATTTAGAATCATCAAAAAATTCTTGTAATAAGGCCAAATTTACAGGATGGATCACTGAAAAATTTGAAGAAGAGTTGTAACAATCCACTAATCTTGGTGCATAAAACAGAGATTGGGTTGACAATGAGCATCTACAAGGAATATGAATGATGCAAAAAGCACATCCCTTTAAAACTTTTTGTTCCTTTGGACAATCTAAGACCAAAGTTGGTGTATTATACAACAAAACTGAGGTTGATGTGATTTCAAAAATGTTTGCTTTCAGTAAAGAAGGAATAAATCTAAAGTCACACAATTTTTGAACTTGTTTAACATCATTTGAGTATAAAGCCATTGTACAATCAGGTTCAGTTATAGGGGTCAAGGCCCTATTGGAATTACATAGTATGGTGGGTCCATGATCACAATTAACTAAATCTTCTGCTGATAACGAGACAAAATAATCATGGTGACTTGTGATTGCAAAATAATCTGGTGTGGACAGGAGCTGTGTAGCATGCATGTCTGAGGTTACATTGGTTGAGGTAGGAACAGGTAAACTAATGACCTTGAACAATTGTAAAGGTTGTTTCTGTGTTGAGATGGGAAATTTCACAGTAATGAATAATGATGATTTATCCCTTGCATACAAAAATTTTCCATGAGAATAATAAAATGAATAATCTGTATGAATTAAATAAAAATTCTTGTATGATTTTCTAAGTTTGAAATTGATATTGGAAATGGCTCTGGTGATTAAAAATTTTGGAATTAAAAATGGAGTTATCTTTCCTTCTAATAAACTCTGGACTGCAGCTGACAGTTTATCAAACTGGGTTCTCAAAAGAGTAGCTCTGTTAACTTGTGACATTAGAATTTTTGACACATTAACAAAAGATTTTTCCAAATCATATAATTTGTTATTAAAAGCAGTTGCAATTTTTGAAATGTACTCTGAATTTTCTTTGATACCAGCAGCTAAGTTGTCCATTCTGTGATTGCTTACAGTAATGAAAGATGACAAATGAGATCCATGTTGTTGCAGTGCTTTTGCAATATTTTCTGTTTTCCTATTTAATGCATTGATGTGTCCAGCTAAAATATTGACATCATCTATAGTTGCGGTGCCAAAAATACTTTTTGAGAGTGACCCAATAAATGGAAGTAAAGCTCGGAGTTGT